CTGAGAGAGCTGGGCTGAGGCAGCCTGGAGAAGAGAAGGCTCCTGAAGGGGAGACCTTAGAGCAGCTCCAGTGCCTAAAGGGGCTGCAGGGAAGCTGGAGAGGGGCTTGGGACAAGGGATGCAGGGATGGGATGAGGAGTTTGGGATCCAGGCTGGAAGAGGGAAGAGTTGGGTGGGATACAGGGAAGTTCTTCCCCATGAGGGTGGTGGGACATGGGAATGGGTTGAAGCTGTGGCTGCCCCATCCCTGCAGTGCTCAAGGCCAGGTTGGACACAGGGGCTTGGAGCAAGCTGCTCCAGTGGAAGGGGTTGGGGTTGGAGCTGGATGGGATTTAAGGTCGATTCTGTGACCTTACTTTGAGCAGGAGCAGCGCGTGTCAGAGCTGAAGGGGTAACGACAGTTTGGGATTACTGAGCACCCTCAGGAAAAGCCGGAGCCGTTGTTGTTTTCCCACTCTGAGATCCCTTATCCGTGTTCACATATCCAGGATGGAGTTTTACATCCCTGTCATCCAGCTCCTGTTACTGTTAAATGGATCCAAGCCCTTCCCATGAGCCTGGCAGAGCGCCCTGGGGCCGCTTCACTTGAGACCTGCAAAGAGCAGGGCCCAGAGCTGAGCTCTGGGCACCCTCCATCGGCTTGGAAAGGAGTCAGGAACATGGGGAGCCTGGCAAAGAACCAGCAAACACCTAAACAGAGCTGGGTTACGGAGCCTGTGCAGCATCCCAAGGGCCTGAGTGCCTCGAGCTCTTATGAACAACGAGAGTCTTATTCCAGTCCCTTTGCATCTCCCAAATTCCTTGCTTTTATAATGCTTTGCTCCAAATGCTTCGCTCCCAAAGAGTCACCAAGCAGGAACCAGGCAGAGCTCATGCTTGGGATGCTCCTAAACCCACATTTAAGGCTCTCAGAATTCCATGTTAAAAGCTGATCTCATCCTTTAGTTCCCAACACACCTTCCCTTCCAAAGCACCTTGTGAGTGCAGACTGAGAGTGGCAAAACAGACACAGGTTGTGTCATTGGGCTGTGAATTGGATGCAGAAGGAAATCCAGCTTCCAGGATGATCCCATCCCCTTCCTTGCCCTTGCTGTGCTTGGTGGGAGTGAGGGGATGCAGGACAGAGCAGGTTTGGAACCTCCAGCTCACTGGGATGTGCTGCAGAGGCACCAGAACGGGTTTGGAGACAGCGACCAGTGACTTGTTTCTGTGTCAGCACCAGTGAGTCACCTGCTGGGTGTATGGGGGATCTCCAGACGCAAACACCCAAGTGGATTCCAAGCTGGAGAGATCCATATGGATGGGCGCTGCTCATCCCACTCCCATTGAGCTGAACAGGCAGCGGAGTGGGCTCCTGCTGTCTGCCACATTGAGAGCTTCCAGCAGCACTGGATCTGCTCCAGCACCCAGTGAATCCCTCCAGGATAGGTGGGAATGTGGCTCTGCTGGAGGCTCTGGGCAGGCTGGATCCATTGGCATGGGGCCAATGGGATGAGGTGCAGCCAGGCTCAGTGCTGGGACCTGCATCTGAGGCACAACAACCCCATGGAACGCTCCAGGCTCGGGGAAGAGCGGCTGGAAACTGCTCATGGAGAAGGAGCTGAACAGGAGCAGGTTGTGCCCAGGCAGGCAGGAAGGCCCCAGCATCCTGGCCTCTATCATAGAATGGTTAGGGTTGGAAAGGATCTTAGGATCATCCAGTTCCAACCCCTGCCATGGGCAGGGACACCTCACACTAAACCATGGCACCCAAGGCTCTGTCCAACCTGGCCTTGAACACTGCCAGGGATGGAGCATTCACAGCCTCCCTGGGCACCCATTCCAGTGCCTCAGCACCCTCACAGTGAAGAACTTATTCCTTGTACCAGCACCAGTGCGGCAGCAGGGCCAGGGCAGGGATTGTGCCCCTGCACTGGGCACTGGTGAGGCTGCACCTTGAACCCTGTGTTCAGCTCTGGGCCCCTCAAGTACAAGAGAGACATTGAGGGGCTGGAGCAAGCAGGGCCAGAGAAGGGAATGGAGCTGGTGCAGGGCCTGGAGCCCAAGGGTGATGGGGAAGGGCTGAGGGACCTGGGGGGTTCAGATGGAGAAGAGAAGGCTCAGGGGGGACCTGATGGCTGCCTCCAACTGCCTGACAGGAGGATGGAGCCAGGAGGGGCTGGGCTCTGCTCCCAAGGAACAAGGGATGGGACAAGAGGAACTGGCCTCAAGCTGCACCAGGGCAGGTTTAGATGGAGCTGAGGAACAATTCCTGCCCCAGAGGGTGCTCAGGCATTGGAACAGGCTGCCCAGGGCAGGGCTGCAGGCACCGTCCATGTAGAGGAGGCCTCAGTGCCATGGGTTAGGGGTGGCCTTGGCAGGGCTGGGACCCCACAGGCCCACCTGAGGTGAAGCCTGGATTTGAGGCCCCAGGGCACTCAGCAACCCCTCAGTCACCACCTCACAGCACTCCCGCACCGTGCTGGTTTTCAATGGCTAAACTGGGAGCAGCCACAGGCTCCCAGTCAAAGCCAGGATACCCCGGGGAAGGAGCCGAGCAGAGGGAGCCATACCTTTAACTGGGGCTGAAGGGGGAACACACAGGAACACGAAGTGGAGCCATTGCCACTGGAGAGGAGGATTCCAGGAGCTCGAGGTGCTGCTGAGGGAGGCTCAGGAAGAGGAGGAGTGGGGAAAGGGAGGAAGGAGGCTGCTCAGTGCCCTCCTGTCTCCATTTCTCCCAGTGCAGGGCAGCTGTAAGCAGATGGAGGAGGAAGCGCCGGTGCCCTCAGGCTAGGTCTGAGGTGAACGATGCTGAGGCTCTGGCACAGAGAAGCTGTGGCTGCCCCATCCCTGGCAGTGCTCAAGGACACAGGGGCTTGGAGCAAGCTGCTCCAGTGGAAGGGGTCCCTGCCCGTGGCAGGGGTTGGAGCTGGAGGAGCTTTGAGGTCTCTTCAACACAACCCAGTCCATGGTTCTCTAAACCACAGCACTGATGCAAGGATTGACTCCACAACTCCTTAAAGCTGTAAAGTGGGTATGCTTTCTATTCAGCGCTGAGACGCACGGGGATAATTCCTCAAAGTCATGCGTACCCCAGTGTTGTTTCCCTCTACATTTATAAGGTTGCTCCATACCTCTATACATGTCCATGTCCTATCCCTGCTTCGTATTACAGTGAGCTAGAAGGTCCTTTGCGCCTGCGCAGTGCCCCCTCTGGTCATGGGCAGGGGTATCCAGATGAAGTCAATGAGTCTTCCTCCTGTGGGTAGGGGTCTCAAGATGAAGTAAATGAGTCTTCCTCTTCTTGAACTTTTCACCTTTTAGTCTTCACATATGGCCTTAGGGTTTGGTCCCAGCCATCAACCAGCTGCTTCTCTCCCTTAACAGTAGATTCAGGGGTCTGCTTTTCCCTATCAATAGGTGCTTATCAGTAAAATCAGGTGTCTGCTTTTCCTTGTCAATAGAACGAGGTGCCTGCTTTTCCTTGTCAATAGAACCAGGTGTCTGCTTTTCCTTGTCAATAGAACCAGGTGTCTGCTTTTCCTTGTCAATAGAACCAGGTGTCTGCTTTTCCTTATCAATAGCTAGTGCTTTTGTTCTGCTTAGTAGGCATGATAGGTACAGACAATACCTTTGCTTAAGCAATCGAATTCCTCCAACCCGCCTGTACAACCCCCCCTGTACATTGGTCAACCCTCTGCATCAGCACCACAAGCCCTGGACAGACAGCAGACCCCCAGCAGAGCAATCATGAGACAACAAGCAGCAGGATAAGGCAGCCATAAGAGAAATAGCAGGTACAATAGAGATAACAGCACCGCAACGAGAAACCCCTCAAGCAGGCGCGGCCATCATGGCGGCGCTTATGTGGGGGGGGGCCGACCCGCCCCGCGCCCTGCGGCAAGGGCGGGCAGCCCCTGTGCGCATGCGCACACGGCACCCCTGAAGCCGGCTCCCGGCACCGTGCCCACACCCGTAGCACCGGGGGGGCTCAGTGCGCATGCGCCTGCGTCCTGTTCCCCCTCTTGCCTTTGAGAGCCGCGGTGTCCCCCCGGAGGCCGGCCCGGAGCGGTGGAAGTAGCGGCCGGGAGGGAGCGAGTGAGCAGCGGACGGAGTGAGGCCCATGGCGGCCCGGCTGCGCCCCGCCGGAGGTAGGAACTCGGTGCCGGTGCCCGGCCCGCTGCGGTGCTGAGGGGACGCGCGTAATGGCGGCGGAGGGCGCCCAGGGCCGGCGCTTTCCCTCAGCCCCGCACGGGCAGCGGGGAGCGGGTTGGACTCGGCTCGTCCCGGAGCGGGGTGAGCAGCGGGCTGTTGGTGGCGGTGCAGCCGGGGCCTTGGCTCGTTTCGGTGTTAATGGGCTGATAACGCGGCGTGTGTTTGCTCAATCTCGGCTTTTATGTGGTGGGGGAGATAGGGAAAGGCTGCTTGGGGCCTGCCCGTGCCCTGGCTAGGCCTGGCTGCGTCTCAGGCTAATAAAGCATATAAATGTACCGCATTCCCCTAAACAAAGCTACTTGGTGGTGCGGAAATAGAGGTTTTGGGTTTAAAATCGGCTGTTGCATGCAGTTACATTCGCCTGTATCCGCTGTAAAGGTTCCTTTTCACCCCAGCATCCCCGAGGGGCTCCGGATGGGACACATTTCCCAGCACCGCAGCTCATGGGTCGGGTTGAAGAGGGGTTTTCCCATGTCTTGGCTTGGGAGATGGGCATCACGGAGCTGACATGGTCAAAGTGACTGAAACAGCACCAAAAACCCCTTGCCAAGGCAAAGGGTTTAGCACTGGAGCATGATCCGGGTCGTGGTGGTCACCCATGGGCCTTGTATGTGTGATGTGACCTCTTACTGCAGCTCAGACACGTGCTGCTGTAGTGGGTTGGCTCAGTTGTGGTGATTTTAAGGCAATAATGCAATGGGGGTTGATAAGTTGTTAATGTTTTCTTTGTCTGTAGGCTTATTTAACAGTATTGAGCTACTTAAAACACATCGCGTCTGTTGAACCCCACCAAACAACCAAAACCCAACCATCCCTCCTGGTTTCCAGCTCAGAACTGATGTGGAAACATGGGTTCACTCTTGTGTTGTGATTGTCTCACTGGTATGTGACTATTCAGTAGGCATTCAAAAGGTTATGTCTGTGATGTGAGGTCTTGAGGAGGGTGGATGTAGCAGTGAGATCTTCAAGAGGGTGGATATAAGAGTGAGGTCATTGTTTTCCCTATTAAAAAGACACTTTTCAGGCACAAGAAGTATCTTTAATTGCATTTTTTCCTCCATTTAAAAGAAATAAAGCCTTTGGCAGCGCAATCCCACTGGAGGGTGGAGGATGGAAGGGACTACACTGAGTTTCATCTCCAACTTTTATGGCAACTGATGCAGCTGAGGCCTGTTTATCCCAGGGTGGGGTTCCCCAGTGCTTCCAAGACTCGCTGCTCCCTGTTCCACACTGGATTCCTTCCCTTCCTGCTTCCCAAGTATCCTGCAGTTTGGGTTGGGGCTGAGCTGGTGTCAGTCCTCACCAGATGAGGAGCTGCATGAAGCAGAACATTGGCAGCTTTTTGTTCAGTGGTTCACTTCTGAAGGTAAATAAAATGGTTTCTTCTTTGTTTGCCATCAAGTTCAATGTTCTGAATGGAGTTTGGGTGCTTTTAGTGAGTTTGAGGGGAAAATACTCCTATTTGCTTTGTCTGCGATGTGCTCAGAGGCGTGAGGGGTATAAATGTGCTTGTGAAACAGCAGACAGGATGTGGCCTGCTCTAGATCTGACATGGGAAGTGAAAACTGAGGAAGGCCACTAGATTTCTGCAGCTGCTGTGCCATGAAGGCACCAAAACGTCCTTTTGACCGTGCTAAAATGCCCTTTTGGGGCTCTTTTTAGGACTGACTTGCTGAAAGGTGTGTGATTTCTCTTTGTGGGTGTCTCTAACCCTGATGCATTGAACCCTGTGGATGCTAGCACAGAACAAAGGCTTTTTGGAGTGTCCCGTGGAGGATGTGACCAAGGGTGGCTCTGCCTGGGATGGACTTAGTGCTCTGTGGGCTTGGGATGCTCACCACCAGCATCCTTGGCTCTTGCTGAGCATGGCTTGCACAGCCTCAGTTGTACCCTGAGAGTGGGCAGGGGGCTGGAGGGGTCCTCAGATCTGGACCAGCTAAAGGGATGTTCCATCCTGTGTAACATCCTGTTTGGGGGTGAGAACTGATGTGGAGAAAGAAGCAAAAGGTGGCTTTGCCTTCTAACGTGGTTGTTGCCTTACTGGGCACTGGTTTACCTGTGGGAGAGATCCCTAACAATCACTTTTGCTTTGCTGGGGTTGTTTTCCCCCCTTTCCTTCATGGATTGGATTGTTTTGATCATGACCCATGTGTTTTCTTGCCTTTGTGCTCCCTTTTCCCCCTGTCCTGCTTGGCTGGGCAGTGGGGTGAGCTGGTGGCTCTGTGGTCAGCACATCTTGGTCCTTTCTTCTCTTAGTGAAAGGGTTGTGATGGGGCAGGTTTGGTTGCAGAGTGCCAGATTGAACTTACTCCTGTGTAGCCTCTGTTGGGTTGTGTTCCCTGGGGAGCCTGTGATAAAAGTGGTGCTTGGAGCCTGCTCTGCTGTTTGGCATCTTCATTCCATCAACCCAGACCCCCAGGAATCACCCCCTGGAGACCATCAGCAACTACACTTCCTCCTGGGATTCATCTACCAAGCCTGTTGTGATGGTTCCTCGGTGTCTCCAACGTCCTGGAGTAACCAAAGGTGTGAAGCTGGGTTTGGTTTTGACTGTCTGTAATGGTAACAAGTGTTCCTCTGCCACCAGCACCCTGCCCATGCTGCCACCTCATCCACACTCAGCTCTTGTGCTGTGTTGTCATCTGTCCTGTGCTTTCCAGGCCTGTGTTCCTCAAAGGAGCTGCATCAGAGGATGACACCGTGGCTAAACCAGTGACTCAGCGCAGGCATTTCCTATTGAAGGTGGGTGTCCCCTCCAGCAGGGTGTGGTTGACTGGTGGAAGGTGAAGCACCTTGCCTGTCACCTGCAGGAAGTGATGGAGGTCAACAGCAACATGCAGAGATGCAGGTAATGTCTAGCACCCAAAAAAGTCCCACCAGGAGGGGTGCTGCTCTGGAGCTGTCAAGTGATTCCCTGGATGCAGCAGAAGGGCTGAGGATGCTTCTCCTCCTCCTCCAAATGAAGATCTGCTGTGGCAGGAATTGAATAAGGAATGTTCCAACCAGGAGTAGAAAGTGTTTGAGAAAGGAAGGGAGTAATCATCAAGGAAGATCATTCTAAAGGCTGGTTTTGCCTTAAAGGAAAGCAAAAGGACTTGCAGAAGAGATCCAGTTCTTGGGGCTGAAGTGGAAGGATGGACATCATCACATCCCCGTGGATAGGGTCCATAATATCACATCCATGTCCTCAGCAACTGACAAAGGAATTGCTGCTTCCCTGGTGTGTGGGTCTCTGAGGAATGTGAACTAGGAGCCTTGAGCAGTAAAACCCTGGGGAGACCTGAGGCCTTTGGGAATGAATCAGTGGATTGTGTTGCTTTGTGATGCTGGCTCCAGCTGGGGTGGAGCCTGAGGTGTAGGTAAGCACTGATGGGTTGGCTCTTGGTGGACAGGGTTTGGGCAGCATCAGGGCTTTATTCCTGTGCCCCATAGCAAGTGGAAGGATGGGCAGATGAGAAACTTATGTAGTTCAAGCAGGACAAGTGTCAGGTCTTGCCCCTGGATAACCACAATCCCAGAGTACAGCAGAGGCTGGGATATGCCTAGATGGGAGCAGCTCTGGAAAGGGATGTGGTGGACACAAGCTCCATAGGAGTGACCAGCGTGTGGCTGCAGCAGTGAAAGCCAGCAGGATGCTTGAGAGCATGAACGAGGGCATCACCAGCAGGGATGAAGATGCAATTGTCCCACTCTGCTCAGCACTGGTCAGGCCACACTGGGAATGCTGGGCGTAGGTTTGGTCCCTGCTGTACAAAGATGTGCATGGGCTGGAGATGGGCTGGAGAAAGGCCACAAAGATGATCCAAAGGCTGGGAAGTGTGTGAGGAAAAGCTGAGAGAGCTGGGACTGTTCAGCCTGGAGAAGAGAAGGCTCCATGAGGGGAGACCTTGTCACCATGTGCCAGTGCCTAAAGGGTGGCTACAAAGAGCATGGGGACTCCCTCTGTACAGGGAATACATGGGAAGGCTGAGGGGTGGTGGATGCAAGTTACTGCTGGGGAGATTCCAACTGGACACAAGGGGAAAATCGTTCCCAGTGAGAACAACCAACCACTGGAATAATCTCCCCAGGGAAGCAGTGATTTCCCAGCATTGGACACTGTAAAGATTTGGCTGCACAGGGTGCTGGGCCATCCAGTCTAGGTCATGTTGGCCAAGAAAGGTTGGACCAAATGATCCTTCAGGTCCCTTCCACTGGGATTCGCGGATTTTGGGATGCAAACAGGCTGGGATGCAGGGGGCTGCCCAGAGAGCTTGGTTCTGCCTAATGTGGTGCTTGGCAACAGAACCTGGGCTAGAGGAGGAGCAGCAGTGTGGGTTTGACTTCCAAGGCCTTGGCTTTTGATCCTGGTTGAGCATCCCCTGCTGTGGGAGGAGGTGGGTGCTTGTCCTTGCCTTGCTCATGGTTGCTTCATGCTCTTACGTGGGAGTGGTTGAAGGAGCTGTTGCAACTGTCTTTAGGTTAAACTCTGTTTTCCTGCTCTTTATCTTCTCTCCCTGTCTGGCAACATGGAGGAGTGAGCAGGGGTTGTGTGAGTGCTCCATCGGCCACCACATGGATGCAGATCCTGGTTTATTACACTTGGGAAGCTCCTGGTACTTCTTCTTGGTGCTTTCCTCTTTGGAACAGAGGAATGGTCTCTGGCAGTGCCTGACTTGGGCTGGATAACATTAGCACAGAGCTGCTCATTTGGTGCATGAGGTGTGGGAATCGCTTCATAGGTGCTCATACCCACAGCCTGGGCACTGAGAACAAGTGCAGCTGGAGGGTGAGCATTGAGTTTTGTAGCCAGGCACTAATCCACATGTGATTTAACAGCCTCCTTCTACCAGGGGTCTGCTGCAGCTCCAGGAATCTCTTTCCTGCTTCAGGAGGAGGAAAGCAGCAGGAGTGAGCTCCAGGTAGCACTTGAGCTCTCTGCGGTCCTGGTTTTGAATCTGCTCTGTTGATGTCCTGGTTTTACCTGGGACAGAGTTCACGTTCTCCCCAGTCACCGGTGCAGGGCTCTGGTTTGGCTCCAGTCTGACAGTAACGTTGATAACAGTGAGTCAGAGCAAGGCCACGAGCTGCTGCAAGGGCTGGAGCAGCTCTGCTCTGGAGCCAGGCTGAGAGAGCTGGGCTGGGGCAGCCTGGAGAAGAGAAGGCTCCTGAAGGGGAGACCTTAGAGCAGCTCCAGTGCCTAAAGGGGCTGTAGGAAAGCTGGAGAGGGGCTTGGGACAAGGGCCTGTAGGGACAGGCCAAGGGGAATGGCTTGAACCTGCCCGAGGGGAGACTGAGCTGAGCTCTTAGGCAGAAGCTCTTCCCTGTGAGGGTGCTGAGGCGCTGGCACAGGGTGCCCAGAGAAGCTGTGGCTGCCCCATCCCTGGCAGTGCTCAAGGCCAGGTTGGACACAGGGGCTTGGAGCAAGCTGCTCCAGTGGAAGGGGTCCCTGTCCGTGGCAAGGGTTGGAGCTGGAGGAGCTTTAAGGTCCCTTCCAACCCAAACCAAGCTGGGATTCCATGATTCTGGGTTCCCAGAGTGTGCTACACTGAAATGCAGGCTGACTGCTCTGTGATTTGCAACATGGCCTCAAAATTCAGTGCCATTTCTAGGCTCAAACCAGCAGAAAATGGTCCTTTCAGTGGCCGTGCCAGACTCTCTGCAGATAAAGGCTTCCCTTGTGACTGGGGAAGCAGCTTCCGCATTCCCACCAGCTCTGTGTGCCAAACCTGGAACTTAAGCCCCATTTTGTGTGTTTTTAACTGATTTCTCTATTGCTCTGCTGACATGGAGGTGCTGCTGATAGGCAAGCACTGAGCTGGCCTCAGGATGGAGGTGCCCTGTTTCTTTCCCCTTCTTCCCCACTAAGAACTCGGTGGTATTGCAGGTCAGAGCTGCATTTTCCTGTCTCTCCTTGCAGATCTTCTCGTGTTTGCTTCAGCTCTGCTGCCTTTGACTCTCACATCCTGGACTCGCAAAAGCAAAGAGCTTTGAACCTCTGTTTCTTGGCCTTGCTGCTCCCTGGCACAGCTCCTTGGTGCTGTCAGCTTGTGTCGTGGTGGTAACTCAGGACCACGCAGCCGCTGGCTCACTGCCCCCCCACTTTTCATCCCCCTGCTCCCAGAGGGATGGGGAAGAGAATGGAAAGAACATAACCCCCACGTGTTGAGATAAGAACAGCCCAGTAACTAAGGTGTAACACAAACCACTGCTGCTACAACCAATAATAATGATAAGGGAAATAACAAGGGAAGAGAACACGACTGATCACCACCCACTGACTGATACCTTGATGCGAGCACCGATCTGACCCTTCTGTGTAACTGCCCCCAGTTTACATACTGGGCATGATGTGCTGTGGTATGGAATACCCCTTTGGTCAGTTTGGGTCATGTGTCCTGTCTCTGCTTCCTCCCAGCATCCCCTCCTCCCTGGCACAGCATGAGGCTCACAAAGCCCTTGGTCAGACTGAACATTACTGAGCAGCAACTAAAACCATCGGTGTTATCAGCGCTGCTCCCAGGCTGAAAGTCAAAACCACAGCACTGCACCAGCTACTAAGGAGGAGAAAAATGACTGCTGCTGCTGAACCCAGGACAGCCTCCTGTCACCATCCATCAACACCTCCTCCTTGTGTTCTGTACACTTCAGGGTTCTTTTTTTACCATTCTCAGTTGTTTTCTCCCATTGAATCCTTGAGCAGCAAATGGCACATCCCTGCTCATCATCCTCCCACCCCTGCCCTGGGTTTAACTCTCTGCAGCCTCCACAGCCGTTCCCTGCAGCTCTTGCTGTTCCACAGCAGCCTGGCCAAGGTTATGTTAGATCCTTCAGCTACAGGCAGCTAGGCCCCTGGGGAGGGAGGATGGTTAAAAGGAGAGGGTGAAAGCGTATTCCAGCTGTATCCTTAAACCAGGGAATGGGCAGCACCATCCTGTGCTCCCAGTGTGAGCAGATGCACTTGTTGGGGCTCTCCAGTGTGTGAGCAGGTACCAGAGCTCCTCATTTCATAGAACATCGCAGAGTGGTTTGGGTTGAAGGCACCTTAAAGCTGATCCAGCTCCAGCCCTCATGTTCTGTCCCTACATCCCTTGTCCCAAGCCCCTCTCCAGCTTTCCTGCAGCCCCTTTAGGCACTGGAGCTGCTCTAAGGTCTCCCCTTCAGGAGCCTTCTCTTCTCCAGGCTGCCCCAGCCCAGCTCTCTCAGCCTGGCTCCAGAGCAGAGCTGCTCCAGCCCTCACAGCATCTCCATGGCCTCCTCTGGACTCGCTCCAACAGGTCCACGTCCTTCTTTATCCACCTCTATTGGGAAGCTTGGGGAAACAGATGATGGAGTTGAAGGGAAGCATCAAGTTCATCGTTTGGCCTTTCTGGGATCCTCTGAATGTGAAGTTTCAAGATTGCTGTTTCCAGAGGTGGTATCAGCACAGCCCTGTCTGGGAATTCCCTGGTTTTCATTCACCTCCAATGAAGCATCAGCAAGTGCTGGGTCCCTGCTGCAGGAGGAGGCAGCTTCAGTGCAGCAGGAAGAGCAGCCTGGAGGATCCCAGGCACACCCCAAACAGAGCCTCTGCTGAAGAGGAAGGCGAGAGCCTGGCCTGGAACATCCCGAGCATTGTTCCCCTTGCAAGTGTCACTTCCAGCCTTTCTTCTGCAAAGGTCAGCCCTGAGCTGGTGAAGGCTTCACGGGGTGGATGTCAGGAGAGTATTGAGGTCACACAACTTCCATGGGGACTCGTGCAGTTTGGTCTCTGTTTCCTGTGACTTCAGATGCAAATGGGGCCAGGCCAGGAGGAAACTAAAGCCTTAGATACACTCAAGTACATCTGTGTTGTGGTGGGGCTGAGTGAAGTCCTCAGGGTTTCACTGCTGCTGGGTTTGGAATCATGAAGGCCTGTACAGCACGTTGTGGGTGTCTTAAGACCTTGTCCCCAAGGCTGCTTTGTACTTGTGCTTGGAATTCCTTCAGGATCCAGCCTTTTGTTCATAGAAATCACAACTGTCTTATGTATTTCTTGTTATTAATACTGATAGAGATCCTACACCTTTAGCTTGAGAGGAGCTCTTATGCTCAGTTCTCCTGATCTAGGATGATGGTTTGACGTGCTGGTGCCGTATCTCTGCCACGTTCAACTGGAGAGATGGGGTTTGGTGTGTCTAACAACATTGCGTTGCCTGAGGAGGTGGCTCTGGTGGTCCTGGTGCTTGAGGAGCATCTGCTTCTGAGGCTGTGTGGCTTCAGGACTTAGGAGAAAGTACAGGAACCTGCAGCCATGTCTGTAGCATCAGGTGTTAGTTACTGGTGGGCACAGGAGGCTGGAGCTCTGTTCTACTGAGTAAGGCTGTTTTATGGCTTTAGGATCAAAAAATAGATGGTTTTGAGTCTTTATGGTGTCTTGTGGCTAAGCCTGTTGTGGTTTAAGCCCAGGCAGCCACTGAGCCCTGCTCAGCCACTCACTCATTCCCTCTTGGTGGGATGGGGAGAGAATGGGAAGGGGTAAAGTGGGAAAACACATGGCTGGGGATAAAGCCAGTTTAAGAGGTAAAGCAGAACAAGGAATTCATTCACCACAGCTGTGATCAGGTGGGTCTGGAGCCATCCCCAGGGCACCAGAGCTTAGTGGTGACTTGGGAAGACA